AAAAAAAAAAAAAAAAAAAAAAAGAATTGAAGAAGAAATTGGTTGGATCCGTTCAAAGCTCGAGAAGGGTGTGTGGCATGTCTTCTGATTGAAGCTCTCGCCCTCTGGTGGTGACTAAGCACTCCTTTGCTTCGTTGTGCGAGCCTCACCCTCTTCTTCATCCTCTTCTCCGCTCCTTTTTTCCACTTCCCGATGGCGATGCTTGAGGCTTTTGCTACAACGACGAGCACGGGATCTGGGGTTTTGATGTAGCCGAATTGCTGGTTCTTATTCGAAAGTTTCATGTCTGGTCGTGATTCTCGACTCGATCCATGCTCTTCTTCTGATCCGAAAGTTTTTGCTTTCCTAACGAGCTCCTGGATCCTTTTTGAGGGGGCATTGTGTACGAGTTCTGAGTTTGAGCTGTTTTGTGTTGTCGATCTGCCTGATCTTTGAACAGGTTGGTTTCTTCTTCAAAATTTTTAGCGGCATTTTCGTAACTTTGAGGGTTTTCTTATGAAGTCAATGATAATCTATATGTGAGATCACTGAATCAGTAATTTTTCGGGTTTGAAAGATTCCCGGATCCCTGCTGATAATTTGTGACCTAGCCTCCAATTCTTAGCCGACATTTACGAAGATGTTCCATTGTTTACTGAAAATTGGAGGAAAAAGTTCATTAGAAATTGTTATCTTTGTTTCTATCATATTCTATTACCAAATTATTGATGAATTAGCCGTATCATATCTTTGGAATCATAATACCCTTTCAATCGGAGTAAGCATCGATGTTGCAAGTTCAATTCGTTAAGTAAGCGGTATGAATGGCTGCACTAGTTTAGCAGATAGCTGCAACATTGGGTCATGAAAATCCACATTTAAGCTTTTTTTCACTTTGGTTTGCTTTGTCATTCAACTTTCTCCATTTATATGTTTGTTTTAGTTAGGGTGGTCGGTGACTGGTTTGATTTTGACATAAAGGGTGCTTGCTTATGCTGGAGAAAAATGTCGTTTAAAAGTTTTGTTAGAGAGCTGCGAGAGATTAAAGATGGAATTGGGAGCATTTCGAAACGAGGAGAAGAAGGAAGTAGGCATTGGCGCAACCGAACAATGTCACACATTGCACCTGATCAAGAAGAACATTCTCCATTTGAGTTAATTCAGCAAGGTCGATGGGCAAATCTACCCCCCGAATTACTTCTAGACATCATCCGGAGATTGGAAGAGAGTGAAACCTCATGGCCTTTTCGAGCTGTAGTTGTTTCTTGTGCTTCAGTTTGTAGGTCTTGGAGGGCCATTACAAAGGAGATTATCAGAACTCCTGAGCAATGTGGAAGGCTCACATTTCCAATCTCATTAAAGCAGGTATTGGGTTTTTATCCCTTTTCCCTTATTCTTAGCTTAAATCCTTTCATATTCTGATTCTCTCTGATTTTCGTTTCACAACTAAAGCCTGGCCCTCGGGAGTCTCCATTTCAGTGCTTTATCAGAAGGGATAGAGCAACTTCGACCTACCTCCTGTACTTCGGTTTGGCTCCTTGTAAGTCGTGTTTTTAGTTTTTTCACAGTTTAGTATCGTGTCGTTTGTGAATTTGAAGGAAAAACTGCACGGCTTGTCCATCAGTTTTAGATATCCAAGGTTATATGTAAAAGATGGCAGGGTATTTGCAATCATCTTGCTTCTAGAAATCCATTTTTCACTGCTGACAATTCTATAAATCTTTCTTTATTTCCCTTGGCAATTCCTGTTCTAAGATGAACAGTTCTTGATGGATGATAATGAACGATATTTTTGAACCATGTACCTTCTTATTATAGATTCATTAGTTCCTAGAACAAAAGTCATACGTGATAGACCACTTACTCATGCCTTGGTGGAAATAGACTTTTGGAAAGTTATGGAATGCGAATGCTTGCTTTGACTCATGACAAGCATTGAATTGACAGCGGAGGACGAAAAACATAAATTGTTGTTAGCAGCCAAGAGGGTCAGAAGAGCAGCCGGTACTGACTTTATCATATCTTTGGTAGCTGATGATTTTTCTCGAGCAAGTAGTACCTATGTTGGTAAATTAAGGTGAGCTTTTAATGGAATAGACTTTAGCTCGTCTTTGCATTCTTCTCATGATAATTTACCTCACAAACATTTGTCAGGTCTAATTTCCTGGGTACGAAGTTCTCGATTTATGATAGCCAGCCTCCTTGTGACTCTGCAGCTCAGCAAAATAGTCGATCAAGCCGTAGATTTCACTCTAAGCAAGTCTCTCCTAGGGTACCTGCATGTAACTACAGTGTAGGTACAGTTTCTTATGAACTTAATGTTCTTCGCACTAGAGGTCCTCGGAGGATGCAGTGCGTCATGCAAACGATTCCAGTTTCTTCAATTCAGGAGGGAGGCACTGCCCCAACACCTACTTCATTCACACACTCTGATGACCACCTTTCTATCGAGTCCGATTCTATGAGAAAGGATTCAGGCAAGGACTTCGGCTCAAAGACCCCATCAGAACCAGCAGTTCAGGGATCAGATGAATCGTTAGTGCTTAAAAACAAGGCACCAAGATGGCACGAGCAGCTGCAGTGCTGGTGCCTAAATTTCAGAGGACGTGTGACGGTGGCATCCGTTAAGAACTTCCAACTCGTTGCAGCTGTTGATGAATCTCACAATGTTTCAGTGGAAGAGCAAGAGAAGGTAATGCTCCAGTTCGGAAAAATTGGAAAAGACATCTTCACCATGGATTACCACTATCCGCTCTCTGCATTCCAAGCCTTTGCAATCTGCTTGAGCAGCTTCGACACGAAGCCAGCCTGCGAATGACATCCTGTCATGAATAGCGGTCATCGTCATCAGAAGAAGGTAAGGATATGGTTGAGCTTGTTGGGAAGAAGAACTACAGAAGCAGTGCATTATTGGCAGCTGAGAAGATGACTAATGCTTATTGTCACTGAGTTGTTAATCCGAGGTTTGACTTGTATCCTGTTGCATCATCCTCTTGGCTCTATCTAATGCGCATACATTATTATAAATCACAGTCCGTTGTATTATCTATGCATGTAGATTTCTTTATGATGAGACCGCTCTGATCGGAAATGGTTTAACAACATTATTGTTTGGTTGACTGTCTCTTTCTTTACTCTTTTGTTCTGCCCCATCAATCCGGATTCTAAGTGTGTGGGGTTTGACTTCTTCTTCATGTTGGACTTCAAGTTCAAGTCAGTTCATAACATTCCTCAAGTTCGAGCGGGTCGAACTTCCGATCCGATCTTTCTTACGTTTGTGTTTCTCAGGAACATATACAACAAATGTTTTTTTTTGGAAAAAAACAAATACAACCATAGATACCAAAAATGTCTTAGACCGTTTAACCAAACAGCAATAAAGAATATATGAATAATAGATATTTTATTTTGGATAAATATCAATTTATTAAACTTTGAGTTAGTATCAATAAAAATTAAAACTTTAACTTAAACTAATAAATGTTTATAAATGTATTAAACTTCTTAAATGTAAGAATTAGTATTAGCTAGAGAGAAATGCGAGAATAGTTTTTCATCCACTCATTTTTTTTCTCTAATTTTTTTAATAAAAAATTATATGAGAATTTTTTTTAATACTTTGGTTTTATAAAAATCATTTTATTTATATGATTTTCAGCTGAAATCAGGCAACTTTCCAATGACTAAGACTTCTATACAAGTAAACAAATCCATTGCAAAGACTTGATGTGAAGTAGCTGGAAAACAACCTTCTCATCTATGGGGAGACAAG